AGGATTAGTGCCGTGATGAGCTTGCTGATGGTTACAGGGAAATTGGGAAAACCTAGACGGAAAATAGAGGCTGGTGGGCGAGGTAAGGTTACTATGATGATTAGGCGGTGGAAATCTGGACTGGGTCAGTAACATTTCCTCAAGCCTTTTAATTCTCCAAAAATCACTTTTTCTGATGCACCAGCTCTCCTTTGGCAGACGTTTCCTCATACTATATTCGTCTTCGCTTCGTTTATTACAGGAATTACAGCATGTTGATCATAATCCCATGAAAGTATTGCAGGATCATTTCGATCTAGTTAATATTAACAGTAAACCGTCATTATGTTCGATAGAGACGAGACTTAAACAACTTACCATTTGCCCTCCACGTGCTCTTAGTGGAAAGAGGAGATTTTGTGTGAGAAGAGCTTTAAGTCTCGTCCTTGGAAGATTGAGATCGATGGCGTTTTTAGAGAAACTGTCCCGCAAAACGTTCCATCTGATGTTGGCTGCATTGAAGTTAGGCATGAGTAAAACATCAGGTCTACAGCCACTCTACCTTATTCACTCCACTTAACACATATTTGCATCAGTGCCTGGCCGCGGTGGTCGGTCAACGTTCACGGCGATCCCATGCCTTAAGTATCAACTAAATAGCTGGTCTTTACCGTCAGTCTTCTCACATTAAAGTTGCTCTTTACATACATAGCAAATCCTCCACTGTGGCACTCCACCACTTCTCATAACGTTCATATTCCTGTTATTGCTTTATCATTAAAAGAATAGTGGGCTACGTTTTCGCAGTTAGTCGAACTTCGGGAATAGACTTAGGATGTTGGTATGCAGATGTTTTAGTCAGCAACACGCGGCGTTGTATAATTCACTTTGGCGTGAGTTTCCCAATACAACTATACAGCAACCATCATAAGCATTGGCTGCTTCTAGAGCCGTGTCATCTTTTGTTGGATAAATCGTCACCTAAAGATGGTCATATTGCTGTCACCAGCACCTAGTGTCCTCTTCATCTCCATTACCAATTCGTGGCTTTTCGGACATTCTGCTGGAGAGTTCTGAGGGCGGTTTTCCTGACAAATTGTGCGTCTCATTTGTTGTCCAAACCCATCTTCGTAGGTCGAGTTCGTATTGTTTCCGATTGTTCAACAACTCTTTTTCCTATCCTGAATGCCTTGTGAACTCAGATATGCTCTGAATGAGTAAGCAGTTTTGGCGGTCAGGGAATCCTTCAATATACGTCCGGCCATACTTTCATCCAAAGAACCCGACAGATGCATGCGAATTTTTTTTAGTTTTGTATTTCCACTTTGTAATTTCCTATTTCTTTTTGCTAAGAGTTTGTGTCTGCAGTTTCAAATAATGGCTCTTTAGAACTGCTGCGAGTAGAATTAGGATCCTTTGTTGCGGATGATCTCTGAGCAACTAGGTGGTTCTATTGGTCATGGCCATGCTATTGTACACTTTTGGACTACGTAGAAGCTGGGCCATAATTTTTAAAGACCCAATATTATGACACGGTACATCTAGAACAATGTACCCGATATTTTACAATTTTGAACAAAGAAGTTATATCGGAGAAACTAAGAGATAACTGTAAAAACGAATGGCCGGATGCGCAACACTTGTGAGGAGGAAAGAGGCTAGCTGAAGGGTTGCAGTTGAT